TATATATATATATATATATATATTGGAAAAATAATATTAATATGTGAGTATAAAATATGATGCATCAGCCTTTTGAGGAATGTTTATGTGTACATCTCTCAATTGGCATTGCATTGCATTAAATGTTTTGCAATAACCACAATAGTAAAAATACATATGGGAGATACAGAGTAACAACTGATATTTATATGCATTTTATCTATGTAGTCTGATATACTGTTATAACGATCATATTGATTTACAAAGCTATCAGTATATCATCAAATCAAATATGAGACTCAACAAAAAACACTATATATTTTTATATTTTTCTAAATGTTCAATAAACTGTTCTGTAAAAAAAAAAAAAAAAAGATTTTTCTGCCTATTATTTTATATGTTCACCTTCACCCAAAATGAAAATGTTATTACAACATTTGTTATAAAAATAGATATTTTTAAGATTTAAGTTTTTTTTTGCCCCAAAAGGACAAAAAAAAAAGGCACCACTAAAGTAGTCAAAGTAAATCACATGCTGTTAATATATTGTTGAAGTCAAATGAGCATCATATTCAATTTGTAAGCTACTGGAGTGAAATATTTCTTTCTTTTTCTTCCCAACAGTACATGAATAAGTGGTTTCGGCTAGAGTCAGATCAGGCTTATTTCTACCGCCGGTGTTTTCTGTATGACGTGGATGTGAGAAGGGAGGAAGGCAGACTACTCCTCTTCATCGCCAGCATCCAGTCCTGGTCTGAGGGTCCATACCGCTGCGTCTCTGAGAACAGTTCTGCAGCAGACAACTCCTCCCAACCCTTCACCATCCCCATACACTGTGAGTAAGAGACATCAAGGGCAGCATGAAAAGTACTAATGGTCTGTGATGCAAATCCCCATTGATTGCTACATACAAAAATGGATCCATATGTGTCTAGATTGTCCTGATGCATCAGTCTTTCCATCGTTGTATGAGAGTCAAGTTGCATCTGACATTTTGTTGAAAGGAAGTTTTATATTTGGGATTTAAAGATTAGATGACAAATAAAACTCTTTATCTCCCAAGATGACAAAATCCATATTGGTATTGATTGTGGGCTTTACAGTGGCCAGGGATGATTTGACAGTGGAGATTTATTGGGAAAAACTGAGTGGAAAAAACAGATGGATCGATACAGAAATGTTCAGTATGAATAATCAGAAGGAGACAAGATGATCCATGCTCACATTGTATTATTACAGTGAACCTGAACTTAATATACTATAATAATTGATGATAATCCATCGCTGTTACCAACAAGTTACAATACTGTTTAAAAGTTTGGGGTCGGTAAGATTTTTTTATGTTTTTGAATGAAGTCTCTTATGCTCCCCAATGCTGCATTTAAAAAAAAAAATGTAGGTATTTGATGGAAAAAACAGATGGATCGATACAGAAATGTTCAGTATGAATAATCAGAAGGAGACAAGATGATCCATGCTCACATTGTATTATTACAGTGAACCTGAACTTAATATACTATAATAATTGATGATAATCCATCGCTGTTACCAACAAGTTACAATACTGTTTAAAAGTTTGGGGTCGGTAAGATTTTTTCATGTTTTTGAATGAAGTCTCTTATGCTCCCCAATGCTGCATTTAAAAAAAAAAAATGTAGGTATTTGATGGTAAAGCTGAATTTTCAGCAGTCATTACTCCAGTCTCTAGTGTCAAATGATCCTTCAGAAATCATTCTAATATACTGATTTGGAAACATTTTTCTGTAATTATCAATGTTGAAAAATGATTAGTCTGCTTTAAAAAAAACTGGGATGAATAGAAAGTTCATAAGAACTGCATTTATTTGATCTAAATCTATTTAAAAGTTTTTACTGTCACTTTTGATACATTTTATGCATCCTTGCTGAATAAAAGCATTAATTTCTTTCAAAAAATCTTACTGACTGATGATGTTTATACACGTGTATTTTATAAATACATATGTAAAAATAATGTGTGAATAGGATATCTTATATAATACTAAATATATACTGTACACGTTATTTTTTGAGCACTGAAAACATGCTCAGAATTTCCATGCCCTACTTCAATTTTTTTTATTTGCTATGCAAATGTATCCAGGAGCAGAGCTGTTTTGACTAATCCGCTTTATCCTCAAATGTTCTCTCTTTTTCTCTCACAGATATGCGGGAGGTGGCTGTGCACAGGGCTGGTTTGGGATACTTAACACGTTATTTCAACTCGGTGCAGGACCTCAAAGTACGATTAGGAGATAATGTGGAGCTGGAATGTTCTACTTCAGCTTCTGAGGCACCGGAGTACTTCTGGGCTAAAGAGGTGACAGCTTTAATATCAAATGCTCTTGCTTTCCTTTTTCCTTCATTTTTCTTACAGTTTCTTTTAAACATGATGCATTACTCTGTCTACTACAAAACTGCTGTATTGGGATTGCAGTTGCTGTTTTCATGTAGGTTTCTCATACATTTGAGAGAAAGACCTGGAAGGCCAGCTTGCTGTTAAAGTGAAAATAAGCTTATTCACACAGGTCTGGGTAAAAGGTTGTAAAATTGTCAACTAATTTAGTTAGAACAGGAAATGTGCTAAGCCAGGAATGTATGGTAGATCTACACTAAAGAGTCTCTAGAGGTCTAGTCTAGTCTACACTCCTCGTATCAATTCTGATTCTGATTTATTTTTATATGAAAGCTTGGTGCAACCATGGTCCAAAACTGCAGCCAAATGTGAGCAAAAATTGGCTTTTAAGTTTAAGTAGAAGGTTAGAATGCTAATCGTACAATCACTGATGTAACTGACACACACGATTCAAATCAAAGGAATAAGCCACATGAGTCTTGACAGATGTTTGCTAAAGAAAACATCTGTCACATCTTGTGCATCTTCTACCTCAGTGGAAAATTTGCCAACATTTGTTTATCTTGGAAGTTTAGAAGTTTATTTCACCATGTGGCAACACATGTGAGCTATTTCTTGTATTGAGAAACAGTACCAACTGTTTTCTGGTAAGGCTGGTTAAACTCAATTCACTTGCCATGTTCATTTTGGATCTGTGAGTAACTGTTGAACATACTAATCTTGACTACATGTAACATGCTGTAGAAAGCACGTGCATGCTCTATTTCTCAGACCAAAAAAAAAAAGTCCCTCCAAATGTCATGGTGTGGGTGATCGATGACTATAGAATTTCATGAGATGTAGACCGACTCACTTCTGTTATTCAGAATGACAATGTGTCTTCCACCACATGTCACTGATGTCTGACAGTTCAAATACATATTTTCACTTATGTTTTCTACCTGGCAGATTCTTATGAACAGAGTAAACCAGAAAAGCAAACTTCCCTTATATGGCAGAGCACGGTCTGACATATAGCAGCTACCTGTTTATTGTGCTCTGTGTGTGCACTCCAGCAGAGGAAACAGGAAGACATTTGGAGCCAACTGATTAGCTTAAACAATGGTGCTTTGGCTTGACTGGGAATCCTCTTAATTCACTTTCATTTAAATTGAAATGGACTTTGTTGGCAGGCTGCAGAAGTTCCTTTAGTGCCAAAAGCATTTGCATGGTTATGATGTACTTTGAGTGGATTTTGCACAGGCATTTGTTTTCTTTGAATTGTATGGTGTTATGTTTTATTTTTACTTCATTACTCTCACTATCATTATTTATTGTAACTGGTGCAGGGATTCTTTTTAAAAGTTTACAGAAGTGGGAATTCGGCTTCTTCCATGGTTCCCTGCATAATAATTATTACTTCTGGCTTATATTTCTTACGTCATATCTTATGTGTAGTTCCTGCTTTGCTTTTCACTTCTCAATAACTTCTTCCCTGTCTGTTTGTGTCTGCTTTCTGTTAAGGGAGAGGACTGGCTTTTGCCTTCCAATAAGCTGAAGTTGGAGAATGTGAGGGAACAGGATGGAGGGAGATTCACCTGTTCGGCTCAGTCTCCTACTGTGCATTCCCTCATGAAGAAACGTACAATCAGCATCACTGTTCTACCAGGTCAGAACAGCAAAAAGGGGTCAACAGTGTGCAGCTTATAGTAAACAACTTGAGTTGATTTGTTTATGTTCAGTATGTTAATGATTTGAACATTTCATTTGATATCCAATGGCACTAACAACAGTTCAACAAACAAAATCCCTCTTTGATCTATTTATCCAATATTCAGTTTAAGTTATCTGAATACAACAGGAAGACCTTTGGAGCCAATGGATTAGCTTAGACAGTGGTACATATGTAAGCCTGTGGAAGACAATAATATTGACCCGTGACCCCACTTAACTTCCATAATATGACATATTTCTAAATGAGACAGGATAAAAAAATAATTTTGAGATGATACCCCATGGCCACTTTTCTTTAAGTCAGGATTATAATATCTGACTGTCATTGTATTAAAACTGAACCTTATAGCTTTCAAAATTAAGTTAATTTTATTGGTAGAGCACTTTTCGCAATCTTATGTTGTTTCAAAGCAGCTTTACAAATAATTGTGCCTTAATGTCTTACGATATCTCAATATTTTTCTGCATTTTGACAGTATGTATAGAGATATTTAGTAATTTGTTCTGAAATAACAGATTTTTTTTTTTAAGTCAGAGGAACCATAATTTATATCAGCCACTGTTATTAAGTAGATTCAAAGTGTAAATATTGGAATGTAATCAAATTGATGTCAGCAGATAATGAGCGTCGTTTCAGAGAAAGTGCAAGTTATTATTTTGATTCGAAGACTCTGAAGTCAGCAATTATTTTATTTGCACTAATGTGAACTGATGAATCGCAATAAGAACTTAAGAATGTAGATAGTTGAATTTGATGTAATGCTGACAATTAGCTCACCTGCCCAAAGCTGAGCAACTAATACCAAAGTGTCTATCAAGTTAAACTAGTTTGATTAGGTTTGTAGTTGGTTTTTCTTATTTTGTAACAAAAATTTTAAAGTCAGTTTGATAGATGTATAATTTGTGACTGCGTCTGTGTCTTATAGAGGATGCAGCATGGTATGAGACAACCACCGGTCGCATTATTCTCATGGTATCTGGAGCAGGATTTGTCCTTCTGGTGATTGTGATATCCATGACCGCTTACCTCTGCCGCCGAGCCAAACAGAGGAAGAGTAATGGACCCATGTAAGTACTCAAAACTGCCCTAGTCATGTTGTTCACTGTGATTCATGTGGGTTTTTAACCTCAAGCCCTCCTCCGTCATGTCGAGTGGAGTCCGTGTATTACTGTGAGCATCAGTAGATGCTGATGACCACTTCTCCCCCCCTACATCTTCTCACTCCCTCAAATCTGTCCAGGCAGGGTAGTTTATGTGCAAATAACTCTTACTAACCACGTCTCTCCCTCAGGCCCAAATCTTTTCTTATTCTGCCCGATAAAACACTCAGTCTGTCGTATTTCCTTCTCTCATCCTTTCAGTGATGACCGCTCCCAGAAGAAGCCCATCTACAGAGCCAGCGTGGAGTCCCTGCCCTCCACCGCTTCTGACAAGCAGCCGCTGGTGTAAAGAGTGAGACTGATGCAGGACTGGAGAGGAGAGTAGAGAAAAGAAGACAAGAGAAAAAAAAGATTAGGGAGTATTGGGTATTCTCATTGGAAGAGTGTTAATGAGAGATTTGCCCATAGATTTTGTTATGCTCTTGGATCTTTATTCAGATATATAATTATGCGATGAATCGAAAAAGTATACAAAGATGGGACAAATGATGGCTTTACCATGGGTCCTTTCCAGTGTGGATGGCAGCAGTGCTTTTCAACAAAAGATGTGCAGTTTTCTCTGTATTGATTCAACAACCCTGCAAAATTGAGAAATGCTGAAAAGATGTTTTTGTGAGGTGACATTGAACGCCTCTTTCTTCCCACCAGTCTTGGGTTGGCTCATTTCTTCAAACTGATTAACATTTCTTTTTAGGAAAACTACTGTCTGCCAGCTGTACAATCATTTAGTCAGATGTAGAAATTTTAGGGGTATTGCTTTACATAAGTATATAATGTTCTGCTTCACTTGAAAGGACAGTAGATAAGATCCAAACTAACACTGAACCAATTACTCTAGAAGCACTTTGAAATTATTGCACTTTTTTTTTTTTTACACAAGTTTGATCTTTGAATTTAAAACTATTAAAATAATTTTACAACATAATCACCCTCCAGTGTTGTTACTGATCTAATTTAGACGTTCATGTATGCTCAACTTTGAAGAGATCTCAAGAGAGTTCATCTCTATGTAAATGGCATTGCCACTGTTTATAGAAAGCTCTTTCCATTTCAGACTTCCGAGGTATTAAAAAATACCTGTAATTTCTCAGGCAAGAGTTCTGATTCACAACACATGTCCCTGATTAGCTTTATTGACCATGAAAAAATACAATTAAGCAATATCACATGAGCATGACTGCTGTTGTCAAGAGTGGACTATCATGTGATTTGCATATTGTTCTTATACAACAGCTCCACAAACAAGACTTACATTTTAGACAATATTGCCAGCCACTTTTGTATATTTTCGAACCAAACCAATTTTAAAGCAAAATCAATACCTGAATGAACCATAGATGAGCGAATCGTTTGAATTAATGATTCAAAGGCTCTTTTAAAGACACCCTATTTCCTTGGGTGAATTACTTGGTAGACCCTCATTCATGTGTAATGTAGGGAGCAGTGACGGAAGCTATGGGGGGCAATTTTGGATACAGCATTTTCTTTTAACTGAATGAACCAGTGTTTTTGAATGAATTATGTTGTGAAGATAAGTCTTCTCTGTCTTGCAAAATAATGATCAGGAGGCAGTTTCAAAAGTCAAAATTAGACTTTATTGCAAGAAGACAACAAAGCCGAGATGCCTGCAGAACATCTCAATTTGTCTCTGTCCAGACTATTTTTTTGTGCACAATTTTGTTATCGGTCACTGTCCAATGAGCGTTCAGACCATTCTTTGATACATAATTCATGGTACTTCGCACAATTGTTCATTAGTTTTCATAATACTTGCTTTCATTGTAGAAAACCACCTGCTAGTCTGTTTTTCAAAAGATAACTTCTATTATCTACCACTTTCCGGGTGCCCAAGGTTGCAGAGGCTTATACATTTTAGGATTTTAAGGAGCTGTCAGGATTTTAATGAGTTTTACACACATTATCTATTTCTATCTCATCCTGTAGCATCTCCCATCTCCAGTACTTCCTTCTGTATTCTCCTTTCATAAGCACAGTCACGTAGGCCATAAGGCCTACACAGTCAGTTATTAGTTTGGCCTTGAGGCCTTCAAAATACACCCAGTTAACATATGAGTCAAACTAACTTTCACAAACATGCAAAGTTCTTCTATTGTTTTCCACAGGATAAATAATTTCAGTAAATGATTCAGTGATTGGAATGTCACTTGGCCAATCAAATTCAAGTACAGGAACCATCAATATACATGTAGCCATAGCTATACACATATTGTATGAAATAATACTCCGTTTTTATTCTGGACCTGTATTTTACCTCGGTCTCTCAGTGGGTGGTAAGAATATTTCTGTCCAGTCTAATAATAAAGGTGGAAACTAGAAATGTGTCAGAAAACTCTTTGAATACAACAGAAAAGAAGAACAAATCCATACCTAAAAAGGCCTGGAGGCAGTCCAGAGGTATTTTTTTTTTAAATGTGACAATCTTTACATGCTGCCACAAGCCTAACTTGGTTTGACATCTGCACAAACAACATGAACTGGAATTGCCTGCACTATACTTAGTCACCACATCACAACTGTTTCTTAATTTTACCCTCCAATGCTTTAACCTTAGCAGTTAATCACTGTAAACATTATCATAGCAACTAATTTCTTTTCTTCTGTTTGTGTTTCATTTTGTGTGGTTTTATTGCAGTGTGCGGCTGACCAGAGGCCACCATTAATAACTGTGTTTTGTGTGCCTTAACGATGACAACTCATTAACGGAGGTACATGCCATGGAATACAACAAGAACAATATTATTACACAAATTATTCAATATCTCTCTTCCTCTCCAGCGGTTATTCATAAAGTCCTTGAACAAGAGGATATATTAGCATGGCGAGCTCTTTGGAGTACAGACATCTGAAATGGATACGGACCTAAAAGAAAAAGAACATTTTTTACATTTTGCTTTCTCTTGGGGCTCTTCAAAGTAAATGGCCTGTGGCAGGAAAATCTTCAAAGGGTCACACATTTCACATTTACATCACCTAGATAATGGACTTTCATAAAAGAGAGGTCTGAAAACAATAAAAGCTCTAATTGCCCACTGTTCTCTTGCAGTTTTTCAGAGCTGTATTCACAGAAAACCCCTTTCCCCCATCAGTTTACTCAGAAAGGATCCCAAAAATCAAAAACCTAATTTGGTGAATAAATAGTTAAGTTCAAAATGCCATGAGTTGCAATTTATGTGTGAAAATTATATTTCATGTCTCGGTTCTCACCAACTAAGGTGCTTGTCAACAGTCATTTTCTCAATTAAATGGCTTGCAGTTTCCTTTGTATACATGTTTCTGCTTTCGAATTATTTATGCTCTGACCAAACACTTCCAAAAGGTTTGATGTGTGCTGGCCAATTATAAACTACTCTGGCAACCATGCAAAGATCGAAAGCAAACAAATGTTTTGGATCCTGCATAGGGACTTTCTAGCTGTTGATGTCTAGCTCGTCTGTGACCATGATCTTCTAGAAATGTTTCTTATGATTGATTATAATTGGACAAAGGAGCAATATCTATAACAGGCAACAGCAAAAACAAGGCATAATTTGGAGCAGCCAGTATTGTTCTTTTTACAGGTTGTGTTTTTCTGCTGCTATTGCATAATTTAACATCTGAGATTTCTTCTACCACAAACATGTGGTCATGTTAAAATGAATGTCATTTGTATCTGACGCTCAAAGCCTGTAGGCTATTTCAGATAATATAAGGAAGGCTAGTTGTCACTCAGATAATTTAGTCTAGCGGAGGGTTAGTATGTTGATTTCAAACACCTAGTTCAAAAACCTCTTAAATTAAAATAATTGTTGTGAATTACGTCCTCCTAAATAAAAATCTAATTTTTTTTTTAATTCTAAGAGGCAAGTATGACTAATGAAGGTAGATTTGAACCTAAAAGCTGAATTATGTCGTTAAGACAATAGTATATTTTCATAAATAGGTTGGGGCATGTGTTTATCAATATGAGTCTGCAATATTAAATTTATTTTTAAATTGATTATTTGTGCTTAATAATTGTTATTTATTGTTTACATTTTGCTGATAAGCCTGTAACTAGTTAAAGCATACTATTTAATGTGACTACCCCACTTTTTAATTCCCAAAAAGTCAAAGTGTGTTCTATGGACTCATTTCCCCCCCCTGGGCAATAACAGTATTCAAAATTTTTCTGTATTTAAGATTTTTCAGTAATATTAAGAAATGAAAAATATTTTCTAGACTAAAATTGTGACAACTAGCCCCAGTCTCCTCTGAGACACGAAACTACCAGACCTCTGCTGAAAACCTCAATGTTATTCCTCCAAATCACCACATGATGTCGCTGAATACAAACTCAATATTAACTCAACTATAAAGCCCATGAATTGTTTTAGGTTTTAATTACGCCAGTGAAGTGAGTTTGAGGAAGATATTTATGCCAGCTTGGTTGCTAATGATCGCGTTGATTCTGTTCGTCGTATGTCACATAGTTGAATGAATCACATTCTAATTCCTTGTTCTGAATTGGTCCAGTAAGTGAATCTGTCATTTATCTCTGCGGACTCCACATTACACGCTAGAGATTCATTAAAAAGCTCAGTCTTCCAGTAAATTCGGATTATTTATATACAGCGTTCAAAACTTTATTGATCGCCACTGTAATTCATCAAGTTAATAT